GGGGGGGGGTTGCAGTAGCCCAATCTTAATTTTGGTTGCCCCGTCTGCCCCCATATTGACATTGTTCCTCAGGTTCTATCCTCACTATGGACATTCTGCCCCGGGTTGTGTCCCCCTCTTAGCCATTCTGCCCCGGGTTGTGTCCCCCTCTTAGCCATTCTGCCCCGGGTTCTGTCCCCCTCTTAGCCATTCTGCCCGGGTTCTGACCCCGCTCTTGGACATTCTGCCCGGGTTCTGACCCCGCTCTTGGACATTCTGCCCCGGGTTCTGACCCCACTCTCGGACATTCTGCCCCTGCTCTTGGACATTCTGCCCTGGGTTCTGACCCCACTATTGGACATTCTGCCCTGGGTTCTGACCCTGCTATTGTACATTCTGCCCCGGGTTCTGACCCTGCTCTTGGACATTCTGCCCCAGGTTCTGACCCTGCTCTTGGACATTCTGCCCAGGGTTCTGACCCCGCTCTTGGACATTCTGCCCCAGGTTCTGACCCTGCTCTTGGACATTCTGCCCAGGGTTCTGACCCTGCTCTTGGACATTCTGCCCCGGGTTCTGACCCTGCTCTTGAACATTCTGCCCCGGGTTCTCTCCGCCCCTATGCACTGTTCTGTAGCGGAGTACTACTAAGCAACAACGTCACGTGATCTCCCGCTGTTGGTGGCGCTGTGAAACATTCTGCCCCGGGTTCTCTCCGCCCCTATGCACTGTTCTGTAGCGGAGTACTACTAAGCAACAACGTCACGTGATCTCCCGCTGTTGGTGGCGCTGTGTATGACCCCCCGCCACCCTATTTACACACCCCCACCCCTTCTAACTGGCAGCCCCCATATGAGCCCGATCCCGGTCCCCCGAACAGCCGGTAATCGAACGGGCTATATTCTAGTCACGGCGCCCCCGGGTGGAGGCCGCTCCTTCCTATATCCGCGTTCCACCAATCAGCGGGCGGCGTGCTGCTGTTGCTAGGCAGATTATGCTAATCCGGCCCCGGCCGCCATCTCTGCAGCTACCATTGTGAGGTGAGGACGGGTTGGCAATTTGCAGTGAAACGGTGAATTGTGAAGGGCGGAGGGGAGCAGTTGGGACTCCGTGGGTCCGGGGTCAAGGGGGAGGTTATTATAGAGAACAGAGAGCCTGTGTCTGGGACCTGGGAGGACACAGTGGGCGCCACACACCCTAAAACCCGCTGTGTCCCCCCACACCCCGACATGGGATGGCCTGCTTCCCGCCAAAACACCTGACAGGAGGGCGGAGCTGACGTAGTCCCTATGGGGAGGCCACTGGGGGCCCCTGAGAAGGCAGTTAGGGGCCCGATTACTGTATTTATACAGTGTGTCTCAGCAGCACCTGCCAGAGGGTGGAGCTAAGCTGTGTCCCTTGGCAGTGAGTTTCAGGGGCCCCCAGCACTGACATACCAGGGTCCCCACATGGTTATCCATAATTCTAATATGCGACACATACACCACTAGAGCTCCAGGACATTAATGGGCCCCTGGTATGTCACTGCTCCAGGGGCCCCTGAGGACTGGCTGACAAGGAGCTCTACTATTGCCCAGAGTAGTGTGAACCAGGGCCCCCCATCTGTGCTGGGCCCCATCAATGGTATTCGTTCAGCACTGGGGCCCCCAGCAATGTATATCAGGGGTCCTGTGATCTTGTGTAGTCCAGCATTGGCTTAGTATTTGCCATCTAGTCAGGGGCCCCTGTATCTACCTTTAGGGCCCCACCAGTGCTGAGAGCCGCGATCACTGTCATTATACTTTTTTTCAGTTTTGGGCGGAGCAGGAAAGGGTTAAACCCTCCTCAGGTTATGTTTTGCTGTTTGTGTCACACTGGAGAGATTTGCCTTCACTTCCTGGTCTGGAGAAACCACAGGAAGTGAGAGGCAATCTCAGAAATTGAAGGGAATTCCCCCCTCATACCGTTGTCACTAGAACAGGTGTCCCCATTGCAAGATTTTCCCTCACTTCCTGTTCTAGTGGCTGTTATATTTTGGATTTCCCATCACTTTGTCTTGGTGACACCAGGACAGATAGGTTAATATCCCGAGCGGGGGCACCGCAATATACACCTGACAGGGGGGTCTAACCATCTGGTGTCTTTATTGAGTGGGTGGGAGGAGTCTGTATTGAGTGGGTGGGAAGAGTCTGTACTAAGCTGAGATACCTAGAGGGCTGGGATAGGAGACTGTACCTAAGGGGCTAAGATGGGAGGAGTCTATATGTAGTGGGATGGGAGGAGTCTTTACCTAGGGGTCTGAATGGGAGGAGTCTACCTAGGGGATGGGAGGAGGCTTTACCTAGGGGGCCTGAATGGGAGGAGGCTTTACCTAGGGTGCTGGAATGGGAGGAGCCTTTACGTAGAGGGTTTGGGAGGAGTTTTTACTTAGGGGGCTGGGATGGGAGGAGCCTTTACCTAGGGTGTCGGGATGGGTGGAGCCTTTACCTAGGGGGATGGGAGGAGCCTTTACCTAGGGGGATGGGTGGAGTCTTTACCTAGGGGGCCTGAATGGGAGGAGTCTATATGTAGTATGATGGGAGGAGTCTTTACCTAGAGGGCCTGAATGGGAGGAGTCTATATGTAGTAGGATGGGAGGAGTCTTTACCTAGGGGGCTGGGATTGGAGGACAGCGCACAGGGTCCCTTCATCAGGGTGACCGCACGGGGTCGCTGTTACATCGTCACCCTGAAGGGACCCTGTGCGTTGTCACCCTGAAGGGACCCTGTGCGTTGTCACCCTGAAGGGACCCTGTGCGTTGTCACCCTGATGAAGGGACCCTGTGCGTTGTCACCCTGATGAAGGGACCCTGTGCGTTGTCACCCTGATGAAGGGACCCTGTGCGTTGTCACCCTGATGAAGGGACCCTGTGCGTTGTCACCCTGATGAAGGGACCCTGTGCGTTGTCACCCTGATGAAGGGACCCTGTGCGTTGTCACCCTGATGAAGGGACCCTGTGCGTTGTCACCCTGATGAAGGGACCCTGTGCGTTGTCACCCTGATGAAGGGACCCTGTGCGTTGTCACCCTGATGAAGGGACCCTGTGCGTTGTCACCCTGATGAAGGGACCCTGTGCGTTGTCACCCTGATGAAGGGACCCTGTGCGTTGTCACCCTGATGAAGGGACCCTGTGCGTTGTCACCCTGATGAAGGGACCCTGTGCG